AGAAGACCTGACAATCTTAAGATGCTTTGGCCACATCACGGATTGATGCTGAGTGCCCCTTGTTGCACGTGTGCGATGTAGTATGTTGTTTGTGGTGATGTTGTTTGAGCCATGTGCCCACCACCCTCACGTGCAAAACACACAAACACACACACACACATGCAACGCGTTGTAACTCCCCTCCTACCCCACCTCAGCGCACTTTGTTTGGGTGCGTGCCTTCTAAAAGTGGCATGTTTTGCTGCGGCTGTTGCTGCTTGCTTGCGTTGTAACCTTCACGTTGCGTTGCATATTGTCTCGTCTGCACGCAGACACACACGTTCACGCACCCGCGTTCGCTCGTGCGACCCGTTCCCAAATACAACGACAAATGTTTACACGAGATGCGTGCAGGCACATGATGATGAAGATGATGATGCAAGTGTGTGTTGTTTATTCAGTGAGGGAAGCAAGAGATCCATAACGCACGCAATGTCACGACATCATGCAACAAACGCGTCTGTTCAGAGTGTTACATTCAATCACCAAGCCAAGGAAACACATACGCATACAAGTTGCACGAAGGCAGTGTACGCATAAATGAAATGTGCACGCGCGCACAACCAAAGAGGATTAAGGAAGCCAGCCACACAAAGCGTGCACACAGCTGCGTTGGGTGTGAGTTCGATTAAAAAGAAGCAACAATAGATGGTCATTGTTCCATGACCCGAAAGGGCCAAACCACAAGAGACAGACAACACACACACACACACACACAACACGAGACAACATCTACCCCACCACCAGCACCAACGCATGCCTGCATGTTGCCACTGGCCGGTTCAAGTGTTGAGAAATAACACGAAACGAAGTCAAACATGGCTGGATATGAACAGAAATGCTTGTTGCAGGGCTTGCAATGCAGTCTTTGTACATCACTCAAGCACGGCCGCACGCACGCACAACAACGTGGTGGTGCTAACCACTACACACCACTGCCGAGAGTGCGCTGGGCCTGCACACCGAATTGGTTCAGGTTTGATGCGATAAATAGTAACGGCAAGCGCGTGCCACTGCACTCAATCTCTTTTCTCGTGAGCGCGATCAGTCATTGTGGCGTTGCCTGCCGACATCAATGCCGTACTCATCATGGTCGTGGTCGTGGTTATGGTCGCTATCATCATCGCGGTGGTAGCTGGCATGCCTGAAACTTGAATTCTCAAGTTCACCAGATCCTGAGCCAGAGGTTGTTGTTGTTGTCTCAGTTGTTGTTGTTGTCTCAGTTGTTGTTGTTGTCTCAGTTGTTGTTGTTGTCTCAGTTGTTGTTGTTGTTGTTGTCTCAGTTGTTGTTGTTGTTGTTGTTGTTGTTGTTGTCTCAGTTGTTGTTGTTGTTGTTGTTGTCTCAGTTGTTGTTGTTGTTGTTGTTGTTGTTGTTGTTGTTGTTGTTGTTGTTGTTGTTGTTGTTGTTGTTGTTGTTGTTGTTGTTGTTGTTGTTGTGCTGCTAATCGTACTAGACATGGCACTGGCCATGGTGGTGGTGCTGGTTGAGCTCGTGGTGCTCGTGGTTGAAGTAGTGGTTGTGGTTGTAGTTGTTGTCTCAGTTGTTGTTGTTGCTGATGGTGTTGCTGTTGTTGCTGATGGTGTTGCTGTTGTTGTGGCGGCGGTGGTGGTGGTGGTGGTGGACAGTCGGGCTGTGGACAAAGATGTGAATGTAGATGCCGCCTGAGTGTCAAGTGTCACCTCAACACCACCACTGCCGGACCAAATGGTAGCAACGGTGGTCATCGTGGTTGTCGTTGTGGTGGTGGCCGCTGTGGTCGCCGTGGCCGTTGTAGTGCTGCCTTCTGTCGTCGACGCCGTCGATGCAAGCAGCGTCGGAGAGAAGGTAGAGGTGGAAGGAGA